ATTAGTCACTGCGCAAAAAAAGATCACCTACATATTTCATTCTAGTCCTTTTCAAACCCGCTTACCTCGAAAAAAAAAAAAAACACTGCTGCTTTTCTGCTAAATTCCAAATAAAACAAACGTCCTTTCATTTGAAAAAAATTATGAAATTTGCCGTGTCACGAAAACCCGAAATATTGCACCGCAAAAAAAAACACAACATAAAAATGGAGCCATTTTCTTTTATAACAAACCAGTTTTTCTAATGAATCAAGCAAAACGTTTTTAAATCTGTTTGAAGAATCAAAAGCTGTAGAAGCATTGTAATATGTTCACAAGAATTAGTAGATTTCCTTTCTTTTTTTAAATAACTCAGTTCGGAAAAATTTAAGTTGCTCCGTTAATGCTTAAAAAGGCTCCATTTTATATGCCTTGTACAAAAACAGGCGGATTTCTTGACAAATCCATGCGAAGTAACATGCCGGACTGACTGGTGTCCGCTAACATCACTTCTCCGTGGTAATGCAGCGGCGAAGCCGAGCTTTCACTGTACGCTGAATCCTCCGACAGACGTGCAGTTGTAGCGGTTGCTGAGATCTGTGTTGACGAATTGCCGGTAAGCGCGGAAGCCGGTGGCGGGGGTGGTGGAGGGAAATTGGGTGGTGGCCTGAAATGAGGTGATATTGCGGGCACGCAGCCACAGCCAGGTAAAAAAGTTACGGGCGGAATGCGGTCGAAATAGTACTGTTGCTGCGATTGCTGCAGTTGCTGCTGCCGACAGTAATTTGATGCTGAAGAAGACGGACCCGTGCGTAAATCATCGTAAGCAATTGTCGCATAATCGTATATACCTAAAATTTCAGAAGGATTTCGCATTTACAAAAAATGAAAAATAAAATTAGAAAAGTCATACACGCAGTGGAGACTCAGAACGCAAATATGCCAGAAGACACGTGCACCGTACATCGATCATTTATTTTTTACAGCTAAGGACCCTTTCAAGTTCCCTAAACTGCTTTTTGAAACATCGAAATCGAAGAACTCGTGTGTTTAGGAAGGAAAAATCAACAACGAAACAATGGTGCATCAAGTGTGAGCCAAAGTCATCTGGGAACTACTAAACTGTGAAGTAAATTTCAGAAAAATTGATCCGAAAAACGCAAGTGAGATCGTAGAACGTAAACGATAAGTGTGCAAACGTGTCTTCCCCCTCAGAATACAAGCATGCTAATGGATTCTAAGCGAACAAACAGTCGACGTGAAATGCAGAACAGTACTGACCATTATGGCACAAATTCTCCTGGAGTATTCTTACAAAAATTTGTTATCATTCGAATGGTACCCAAATATTTGCCAGTAAAAATTCCGAATTTTTATGCATATTTTCAGACTAGTGAAGCAATGTATAATAGAAAGATTCAAGCTAAGAGAAGGTTTGCCAGAATCAAGCTGCCAAATATATGTATAATGCTACAGTAGAACTTCAAAAGAGACTGTTTATTTTCTTCGCTCTAGCATCTTTTTCTGCGTATAAGAATAACACCCAATGCCAGACGTAGACTGCAGCACTAAAATTAACTATGCCTAGAACTCAAAAAACAGAGACCTTTAAGCAACTACGATGCAAAACCCCGAAAATGTGAAGAAATGAAGTTAAAAGTGAAAAAAATTAACGCTGCCATAGGAGAGCCAGAAGTTCTCACCTTATCTATTAACGCTCAGTAAATTACTGGAAATTTTTTGCTGGTAGTGCATGTACAAGCTAACTCATGTAAACAGAGATATAT